GGTGGGGATGAGTAAAGTGGTGGTATTGAATTAAAAAAAAAAAAAAAAGTGGAGTAAAGAGGGGGGAGAAATAAATAAATAATCCTGTTTATGAAATGAAATGGCCGGGTAGAAAAATGATCTCCAGGAAGAAAGCAGCTCCCAGGGCTATTTTTAGCTCTTCTGTTTCTTTTTCTCCCTCCCTCCCCTTCCCCAGCGCAGGCTGGGGTTTGGTGCATGTCAGTCCCACTGCTCCCTCACCTCTTGAGTGCCAGGTGATGCTTTTTTTGTGTGTTTTGGGGGGGGGTTTATTTATTTTATTTTTTGCCTCTTATTTATAGCACAGGGGGAAGGCGGCAGCAGGCAGGAGAGGCTGCACAGGCATCACCCTCAGCCCTGGCTGGGAAAACGGGGGAGCAAGGTGGTGGAGGGGGTGGCGGGGGCTGTGCCTCTCCTGCAGGACCTGTGTCAGCAGTGGAGTTGCCCCAAAGCTGGACTTTGCTCCTCAGCAGCTTCAGGGGCTGCTGGAACCCCTGCAAAGCCCCCTTTGCCCAGGTCCTGGCAGGTTGCAGTTGCTGCATTCCCTGCGGCACGGGGCCAGGAGTCGCCTTTGGTGCGTTTTCATCCTTTGTGAGCCCCACGTTGTTGCAGCACCCAGGGCTGGAGGAGCCCTGGGGATCCATCAGGTCCTTCTCTTCCCCCCCGGGCACCATCGCTCCTCAACCCCTCCCAGCAAAGCTTTCCTCTGCTTCCCTCAAAGGCGCTCGGTGCTGCAGCCTTCCCCTTCCCCAGGCATCCCTCCCTACCCCGTATCCTCCCTTGGCCCCAGATCTCCCATCCCATCCCTCCTGGATGGTGCTGCTGCCCCCAGGACCCCTCTCTCCGCATTTCTCCGCCGCCGGCTCCCTCTGAGCGAACATCCGCGTGGGCTCCCATCTTTGTGCCTCTATGGAAGAAATACATAATTCTTTTATTATTCAATTAGGAATTTAACACACAATCAGGTGATCGCTTTAAGAGGATTTCCTATAAGGCAGGATTTGAATAACCGGGCTACGAGTAATATATTCCCTTAACTGGTTTATTCCTTTATCAGATTTTTTTTTCCCCCTAAGCGCTTTAATGCATTTACTTTCCCATTGTCACCATTTTTCTCCGCACTCTTCCTCCCTCCCCAAGCTTATGCAAATCCCCCGTAAGGCGTTTAACGCTTGTGTGTGTCAATAGAGCCGAAATCTTCGCGACAGCATTAGGCTTCATGCATGTCCCGGCTGATTAAGAGGGGCAGTGGGGCCAGCCCGGCCGCCCAAGCCCCCTTTCAGCCCTCGCCATGGGGCCGGGGAAGGGGCCCCCAGACCGGGAGCTGCATTTTTCTAGAGAAAAGGCTGGAGCTGAAAGTAGCTCTTTTCTTTTGCAGGGCGAAACGTGAATGGGGAGCGAGGGGCTGACCTGTCTGCTGCTGTTTGCTGCCCTGTCGCTCAGCTTTTGGGGTGCTGGGCGGGGTGCGTGGAGGTGTTAAACTGGTGGGGGGAAACGTGGTGTGATGTGAGCGCGGGAGGAAGAGGAGGGGGGCAAAATAACCCAGAAGCCAATTTCAGCATCAATTTGCTTGCCCATCACCTGCCTGCTTGGCACCAGCTGCATCGCCCCCGGGTGCCCACCCACCTTTCGGAGCCCATCACCGGCAGAAAAGGCAGGTTTTTTTATTTTCCCACTAATTGTGCTGCCGAGGGCTTAGATTGGCTCAGCCGGTGGCTCTGCCCATTGCCATGGCGCTGGGCGGTGCTGCCCAACCTCCCTTGTGCCGCTGGGTTGCTTTCCGAGGAGGTAGTGCCTTGCCAGCAGGCCTGGCTTGGTGCCCTCTGGGACTTGTTTTGGGGCAGGGGGGGCTAACAGCCTTCATGGCTGTGGGGGTCCTAATGTGCCCAATGGGTGGGGGAGAAGCCTGGAGCACCGTCTCTGGGGGTGGCGATCGCCCTGCTCGCCTTGGTGGAGTGTTCACTCTGAAACCTACAGACAACCTGGACACTGGAAAAAGGGAAGCACGGGGAGGAGGGCAGCGTGCAGTAGCATGGTGGGAATAGCCACAGGGGCTGTGTTGCTTCTAACACACGATTTCCCCGTCACCAGAGGTGCTCAGGCTTTGTGGCTGCTGGAGAGGCCCTTTGTGAACCCAGCATGGGGGGAAAAACCCCCACCCAAAAGGCAACCATCACCGTTTTCTCCTTCCAGGGAAAAATCTCTTCTCTCAGCCTGGGTCTTTAAATAGTTTGGTGAGTGGGAGCGAGCTCAGCCGGCCTTTCCCGGCCGTTGTTTCCTCTGCGCCCGCCACTGATTGTCTCCTTTTTTTATCCCGTCCTGCCGGTCTGCCTGTGCGTGCAGCAATTATGCAAAGTTGCAATCAAGGAGCTGAATTAGCAGCTCATCTTGGATTAATTAGTGATGGATGCAAATCTTTTACACCAAACAAGGCGGGGAGGGGAATGCAAAGGCTGTGGGTATCCTCTCTGGGTTTCTCCAGCTCCCTCAGGCTGGTTTAGCTGATTTGGGAGTGGGAGGGATGCACGGAGTCACCCCTTGCAGGAGAATCGGGGCATCCGCATGGAAGAAGTTGGTCCTTGGCCTTGGGACGAGTGCTGGGTGCCCCAACGCTGATGCTCAGCTCAGCCCCTGCATCTCCCTGGAGAATTTAAACCCAGTGCTTTGGGCTTAGAGCAACTCTTCCTCCCACCCTAGTCCTTTTGCAAAGCTTGGGGAAAACCCAGTTAATTCCTGCGGCCACCAGTGCCAAGCTCCCGCCAGCACTGGGGATTTCTGTTCGCCTGCAATCGGATTGCAACAAACTCCTCCAGTTGCACTGAACAAATTCCCTGGCTGCTCTCCGCTTCTCGCAGGCCCCGATAATCCCCCAAGCGTGACTCCGGCCAAGCGACAACATCCCTGTTTAATCCCCCCGTCTCCCTGCAAAGCCGGCGCTGCCAAGGATGCTCCCAGCACTGGCATGGCACGCTCTGCCGGCACGGGGACCGGACCCTGGGGAAGGCTGCGAAGGCTGCGATGCTGTTTAAGGAGCTTTTCCAAGAGGGGATTGCAGGCTCGGGAACGGCCTCCCCTTCCCATGAAGCAGAAGAGATGGATGCGCAGCACTCCCAGGGTGGGGGGGCTCAGGCATTTTGTCCCTTTGCCTGGTCCTCCCTGCTCAGCAGTCACAGGTACAGGGTCACCCACTCCAGCTGGTGCAGAGGGGACACAGCATTGGGCATGGAAAGCCAGGGGCAGCCTGGCAGGGTGAGCACGGTTTGGTTAAGGAGCTGGGAGTTGCTGCTCCTTAACCAAGGGATGGCTTGTGGCTGCTCCCCAGGGGTGGGACAGCAGGGACAGCCACTTCCCGCGGTCCCCAAGGGTGTAAAGCCATGGAGTTTGGCAGCGCGGTGGGATACAGACACCTAAAAGGTCTCTCCTTCCTCTCACCTCTGCAGCAGCAATGATTAATAAAACCTGACTCTGCTGGAAGGGCAAGAGAAATCTGAAATACAGAGGATTTCTGAAGAACATCCTAATCCGATGTCTCTGAGACAAATGAATCAGCAGCGTCTTATTCCACCCAGCGGGATTAATCAGCGTTCGACCAGGCTCCAGGAAAGTGAGGTGAGGCTCTGAATAGCAAGGAGCCGTGGCGAGGCAGCCGCAGGGTGTTAGCTGGTTCATGGAGCCGAGCAAATCCCTCCTCATAATCCGGCAAACGCCACCGGGATGCACCCGCTCGTGCCGGGAGCCGTGGGACAACGAGGAGAGGCAGGAAAAGGGGAGAAGGCAAAAATACCTCTACAGAGCTGTGGTGTGGGTGAGGGGATGCTCTGCGGCCCCTGCTGTTGGATGGGGGGGTACAGGGGGAGGCCCCAAGGTGGGGCTGCGTGCGCGGGGTGTCCCTCCTGCCATGGGGACCGGGGTGGCTGAGCCAGCTTCGCCCCGTCGCACTCGGAGCATCGCGCCTGGTAGGTTTTCCTGGCTGTTAAAGTGGGTCAAGCAGAAACCCAAGGAGCATCTGAGCTCACCAACCTCGAGCCAGCTACATCAAAGCTGAATTATTCAGGCCCGGCTTAAAAAATTGAAAAGCCCAGCAAAACTCAGGGAGAACCCAGCTCATGGGACCCCTCCCCAGGCCCCCATCAGGCAGAGGCGGCTCAGCCTGCCCATGCTCAGGGGGCACCCTGGGCACTTTGGGAGGGTGGACCATGTCGTTTGGGTCTAACAGGGCCCTTGGGGATGGAGAAGGCAGAGAGAAACCACTCGAAGTTTGCCCTGATGGCTTTGTCTCCCTACAGTCCCCCATAGCCATCCAAGCCATAGCACAGCCCCATTTCACCCACAGCAGAAACAGCAGAAACGGGACCCCCTTGTCGCCCAAAATGGGGATCAAGAGGGCGCGTGATTTTAGACAGGACGGTAAAAGTCAGGAGCTTGTTATTTGCCACGAGATGTTTTGTTGTAGCATCTCCCCGTGGCTGGGGGAGCACCAAGTGTATTTGGGAGCAGAGAAGCTCCCCTGCGCTCAGTTGCTTTTACAGGACCCCCCCGGGCTCCATACCTGGGGCTTCAGGATGGGGAGAACCAGCTCGTGGGGGGAATCCCTGCAGAAGGCAGTGAGTAATGCTGCCGGCGAGCCGTGAAAAGGAGAGCGCACATATGCTTCAGCTCGTCCTGCTCTTTTTGCAGAGCACTCGCACCGTCTGGGTGCCAACCAGCGCCAGGCACAGCCAGGGAACCCCCACCAAAGTCACCCCCTTTTCTTAAATTTCCAAGGTACCTTGGCAGGGGGTGGTGGGGTCTGGTGTAGGTAAGGGGACATACCCCAAGAGGGGGGGAGGTGCTTTGAGATTTCACAATGTCTTCTTGTAAACCTGGCACTATCAAATTAGAGCTGAACAAACCCAGCCGAAATAAGCAATCTGAAAAATCCCCCCCTTGCACTAGTGCGCTGAGTTTTGCAGGTGCTCAGCCAAGGGAGGAGTGGGGAACGCTGAGCCCCCAGCTCTGGGCAGAGCTCGGTGCAGCAGTCTGGTTTGTTCTGAGCCAAACTCTGGCTGTTTCAGCCAAGGAGAAAAGATGGAAATTTCCACCTGGCCTGTTTTCCTCCCTGCGATGAATTTGCAGGAGCCCCTTTGCTCAGCCCTGCTCCCGGCAGAAGGGCAGCAGAGGAGGCGCCGCTGGTTTTGTCTCTAATTTCCTCTGGCGTGAGCGGCAGCAGCGCATCCCGCCGGCCCCGCGCACTGATTTATACAACGCAGCATTTATTGACTGCGAGGCGATGATTGTAATTCACAGCCCGGCGCGTTGCAGGCGCGGCGTGTGAGCAGGGATGGTACCTCTCCTCCTTCCCACTGCCGCCATCCTCCCACGCTCCGGGTGGGGAGAGCCCAGCAAGGGCTGGGACCCCAGGGCTCGCACCCAGCTTGGTGGGAGGGGGTACCTGCTGCCCCCCCTGCCCCATGCTTTGCTGCAAGAAAACCTGATAGCATCAAATCCCTGTGATGTCGCCTGCAGCCTTGGCCGGCTCGCCCAGCTCAGGAGGGGTGGGGACACCTGCGATGTTCCTGCCTGGAGCACCTTCCTCGGGGACACTCGTCCTGTCCCCAGACAGATGTGACCCCCACCCCATGCTGTTGGTGCCCTTGCTTCTCTGCTTGCATCCCTTCGGTATGCTGGGGAGCAGAGCCCCCTCCCCTTGCTTCCCCAAAAAACTGGAGGGGGTTGCTGCTTTCTGCTAGCCAGAGCTGCAGTCTGTCCGTCCATCCATCCATCATCCATCCATCCATCTTTCTGTCCATTCACCTCGTCTTCTGTCTGTCTGTCTGTCCGTCCACCCACCCATCCATCTCTCGTCTGTCTGTCCACCCATCCTATCCGCACATCCCTCCATCCATCCATGGACAGCTCACGCCGACCCCATCGGCCCCTTTTATGCCAGAACCGTTTGCGGGGGGGGGGGCAGGACCCTCTCCCTGCATGAAATTACCAGGGCTTCCTTCCCAATTAATCTCTGCAATTAGCTCCAGGCCTCCCAAACCCTCCAAAACGCCT